TCAACGGCCTGGTTCTGAAAAAGTATTTAAGGCGGATTTGGTACTTCTCGCCATGGGCTTCCTGGGACCAGAGCGTGCTATCGCCGATCAGCTTGGCCTTACACTAGACGCTCGTTCTAATTTTAATACCAAAGATTACAAAACTAATTTACCAAACGTTTACGCGGCAGGAGGTACTTTAGTGTTTTGTATTGAAATCGTCTACCAACATTTTTATTTTAGATTGCCGCCGTGGACAGTCTTTAGTTGTTTGGGCGATCGCGGAAGGTCGTCAAGCCGCTAGAAAAGCGGACGAATTTTTAAACAAGGGTGAAACTGCACTACCTGGCCCCGGTGGCATTGTTCAACCGAATTTAATTCCAGTAGCTTGCCCAGTTTAAAATGTTTTAATTTTATTTTGTATTAGTGTTTGAAATGTTATTAAAGGAAGTATTTAATTACTGTTGTTGTTTCAGTGTCACACTGCTGTTACATATTTAAAATTGTGCTATTGTTGTTACGTTCCAAAATTGTTAAAAGGAAGGTTATCTTAATAACGGGTAGTTATTTTTTAGTATTATTATGTTCTATTATATCATTTTAATCTTTTGAAAGGTAAGTCCTGCTATAACCAGTTTAAATTGCGTTATCATCAACGATTAGCATAATACATTTGTCCTAAATTCTGGCTGGTCCAGTCTATTACGAATTTTGCGTAATTGTAGAAGGAGATTATTTTTATGATGAAGTTATCGAGTGATTATTAAAAAGATTATAGATAATTAGTATTAGTTGGATGACAATAAATTATCATTGTGATTATCCTCTATATTTTTAAGACTGCATATTTTAGGAAACATATTGAAAACCATCCTTGTGAAGTTTTTACATGAACTTATATTATTAGTTATTTATATAACTGTTATTGCAAGTGAAAATGTAGTTTGTTTTCAAATAAATGTTGCAATTATAACATCTGTTAAATTCTTCATGCCTATAATACAAATTACGTTGGACGGCGTTTTGGTTTAACAAATTTTTATTTACGTGATTTTTTTACACTAAATGGGTTGCTGAAGGATCATAATCATTCATCATCCTGCTGGACGAGCATCCTTCTGTTTTTGTGATTAAGTAATCTGAATAAACACTTTCATTTATTTATCAATTTCGTCTGGTAAATAAATACTTTGTATTGATATACAGGAATGAAATATGGGTCATTTTGTGAACTTACGCCGTTTTGTTAGCAAACCTTGTTTGTTAATTGTTTATCATTTGTCAATGTTTAGTGCACTGTCACTTTCAAAAAATAAAAAGTGCACTTTTGCGCCCCTTTAACGTCTGTCTGAGTCACAAAGGCTCCGGAAGTACACCACTTACAGACTTAGTATTGGTGTCCTTTGATCAGAAATTAAAAATTATTTCGTGTTTGTATTCTCGTTAAGGTATGAAATGTCTATAAGGGCTATTAAAATCGAAAAAAACTTGAAAGTGTACTTTCGGCATCTTACTCACAAGCGGCTTAACGAACTTTTTTTTTGTGAGTGTTGTGACAATACAGGGTTGTGTTAAGTGTCATTGGAATATTGTAAAAAGCGAAAAGAAACTTGATTCGGCTCAAAAAAGAACCAATATATTGATACTCTCTTTTTTAATGAATATCATCGTACAGGTTGGTAAAAATACTCCGCATTTTAAAACTGCTAGCATAGAATAAGTAATTTACTTATTCAATGCTACTAGAGAGTAGAGTGTGTATATTTCCCACATATACCGCTCAAAATGAGGTATTTTAAGTTTGTGTTTTCAGTGTTGAGTTGTAATTTATATTGGGCGCAATACGATATTTTCCACTTTCATTTTGTTTGCTTTTATTAGTAGAACTTGCCATAAAAAACTATCAAATTGCTCCGCAAATTAGAAAATTGTCCCTTACGTACCCACATAGCACAATGTATTCTAAAAATATTCTGAGAATCTATGTCTGCTCACAGAACATTCTAGGAATATTCTGCTAAAATATAAGATGATTATTCTAGGAATATCTATAAATATACTCTCAGAATTTATAAATCTTTGTTTCCCGAATATTCGTAATTAATATTATCTTTAAAAATTATGGTTTGAACATTTAATATCAAAAAACGTTGCACATATGACATAATAGAAACATCAAGGATCATCAGTGTGGTCTTAAATATCTATTATTTCACATTAAAATTTGTATAACTCCACCTACAACAAATTATGAGTTTAAAATACGTCACAAAATACACACGCTTACTTAACAACATCAACTTCCGCAAAAAGCGACGAATGTCAAGTTCCAAAATGTTTTTATTTCATTTTCAAGGCAATGAGAATGAGGACGACGTGAGAAAACAACTGTCGGAAAAAAGTAACATAACAACGCGGAGGACTATAGGATAGAGAAGCGAGACGCTTTCTCTGCGTTCTACGATTTGGCGCCCTACGTGATCACGCTAACGCAATTTACTATGATTATACTTGGAATATTCTCAATGAACTACTGATGATATTTGTACATTTAAAATATCTGTTGTAGTATCTTGGGGTGTAACCAGTGACAAAATTAAGAAAGTAGGAGTGCTACCCATAATGTTTTCATCCACTCTTGTCAATACACCACGAACCTCCGCTAAAATTATTCCTGGAATATTCTTTAGGAAATAATCATGGAATATTCAATATAATTATTCCTTGAATATTCACTCTATTCTAATAATTAGAATATTCCTGGGAGATTCTAGATATATATTCATTTAGGGGCCGTTGTAAGAATATCGGTGCTAGCTGGGTACGTGTCTGTAATTTCGTTTTGTTTCATGTTTTACACAAATTCTTTCATTATTATGTTCAAATGTGTTTGTTAGTAATAACACAAACTAAAAATTGGGGCGCAGACAACTTATCAGTGTTGGTTGGATGTGTTAGTAAGATAGGTAGGTAGTACTGCAGAAATTGTAACAATTTTGATAAAAGTTTTAATTTGGATAACAAGTTTTGATTTTTGCAAGACATCAGCTTCGGCCACTTCGCTGTCTCCCCTCGCTCTGATTAGTAACGGTCCATAGCTCAGCATTTTTGAAAGAAATAATCTAAAATGATTAATATGTCCTTTGATGTATGAGATCTGAACCATATGAACGGTTGAGTATTTGGTCAAATTGACCCGATAGAATTCTGAGGGCATTTGACAGTGGCGAGCATCTGGTTGGGGTTTTCTTCGATATAAAGGGTGCCTATGCCATGACTTGGAGACATGGAATATTCCAAAATATGTTTAAATATAATCTGCGAGGAAATCTACCAAAATTTGTAAAATCCTTTTTAGAAAACAGGATTTTATATCGAGTTTAAAAGAGCAATGCAAAAATACCCTAGCTTTCATCCAGAGAATTGGAATAGCAATTAACAGACTGTATACTTTTAAATTTTGTTATTTGTGAGTAAATGTAACCCGGCATTTCTTTTTCTACATGTGCGTACCTAATTGTGATATGAAAAAAGAAATTATAGTACACCAGGCTTTAGAAGCCGAAACCTCAGATGAGGTTTTAGTGGGTATGCCCAGGTAATGGGAGAGCCCCAAACTACTCCAGACCTCTACCTGGGATATGTGCGTCATTCATTTCTACACCTGTCAAAAAAATAATAATTTATCCCCTGTGGGTTCGGGGATAGAATTGGCCCACCCCCGTCCTGGGGATCGTAAAAGGCGATCAATGGGCACTAAAGGCGACGAGTCCAACCGCCTCTAGTACATACCTACCCATTTTTGTTTTTCAACTCCCACACCCATCTTCCCTACTTTCCTATCCCTGTTTCCAGGTTCCTTTTATCCACACATCTCACAGCACAGAAATACTTTAGTCTTTTTTAAAAAAATGGGACTTCCAAATACAATCTGAACTGCAACTGTACCTATACTTTGATTACTTGTGATATTTTACAAAAAAAAGGCCAATATCCCAGCAGCTGACGCCTATAAGGAGGAGTTTTAGTGGGTAAACTGGGTATCTGGGAGAGCCCCACACTTAGTGCGTAAATAATAATAATAATAATATTTTTTTATTCCATGGACCGTGGTAGGTATAGGACATGTCAAATACACATATAATTACTAACAGACAAATAATATCACAGTTAAGCATGTTCAAGGAACTCTTTGATATTGTAAAAACAGTGATTATTTAAGTATAGAAGTAATCTCTTATTAAAGTTATTTAGTTTATTGCAGCATTTAATTTGTTCGGGTAATTTGTTAAACATTTTTACTCCCAGTACAAAGGGTGAGCTCAAGCCAATGTTATATTTGGTGTGCGGAATTCTGTAAAAGTCGTTGTCGCGGAGATTATGATTATGAATGTCTTTGTTTTTATTTAATGTATGTGAGTATCTGAAAATTAGTTTGCATGTTTCTAAAATGTATAAGTTGGTTAGAGATAAAATGTTGAATTGTTTGAAAAGATTCCTGCATGTATGAATTTTTGAAACATTCGCAATCGTCCTAATAATGCGTTTTTGTGCAACAAGAACTTCGTGAGAGTAAGTAGATGTGCCCCACAAACATATCCCGTATCGAAGGATAGTGCCCACCAGAGCATGGTAAATGTTTATTAATTGCGCGAGCGTTATAACATTTTTTAAATTTCTAAACAGATAATTTAAGGAGCTCAGCCTAGCAGCCAGCTTTTCACAGTGCTTTTTCCAATTTATATTGTGGTCAATATGTAGTCCCAAAAATTTGGTTTCGTGTACATGCTGCACCTCTCCACCCTGTATTTTTAAAGTCAAAATATTTGTTGGTTTTTGGAAGTTATGAAATCTAACAAAATTAGTCTTCCCTCCATTCAATACCAGAGAATTGTTGCTGAACCAGTTGTGTAGTTTGTCAAGGTTCTCGTTGCATAATTTTTCGAGTTGTGTCTCATTCTTATCTGAAAGCAATAGGGAGGTATAGGGAGATCCAACTAAGCGCCACCCCTCTGATGCCGTAGTGTTGCAGTTTATTTAAAAGTGTGTCGATATTTACACAGTCAAATGCCCTCGTGAGATCACAGAAGATACCCACTGGGCATTCGCTTCTGTTAATGTAATCTAGCACTTTGTTGAAAAACAGGTACAAGAGGCATCAAGTGTAGAGCTTTTTGGTTGAAACCCAAACTGGTGCGGTGAGAGCAGTTTGTACTTGTTAATAAAACTTATTGGAGTCGATCAGGAAAACAGTATTCAAATATCTTCGAAAAAACGGAGCTTAGTGCAATGGGACGATAGTTCTCTATGTTGCTAGCATCTCCCTTTTTAAAGACAGGAACAACATTATTAATTTTTAAACTGTCGGGAAATTCGCCCGTACTGAAGGAAAGGTTTATAAGACTTGTTAGAGGCATAACTATATCAGCTCACATATATTTTAAATGCATCTCCCCTCCTAAGAAAAAAAAATAATGATAATAATTATGATTTATTATTCAACAGAGGAATTCATTCAATTACAGAACAAATAGTAAATTAAGTGAATCTAACTAATATCAAAAAAATAAAGAAATAATTAAGTGTCGTTGTTTGTAGGTCGCGTATCACTATCGCTTCAAAAAAAATTAGTCCTCTACCATTTATGTTCTATACATTTTTCGTATCTATTTCGGTTTGTGCTGGTTTTGAAATAAATGTGGGCGATTGTGATTTTAGTAAGAAAACTCTATAAGACTCCACTAGCGGAAGTGTGGTAGTCTGAACCATCGGGTGCCCAGTTGTCGGACGAAAACACGTCGTGCCCGCGCATGACGTCACTCTAGTTGCATCTGTCACGTGATCCCATAAAGATTCAATGGTGAGCCTCGTTTGCGACGTATAATCTGCATTGTGGTGCATATTATATTTATCGTACGTACAGGAATATGTGTAGTTGATAGCCCTGCATTGCAAACACTCGAGTTTTTGCTTCTATTAATAGCGAATACCTTTTATTTCCGCTTTTCTTACACCGCGAGGATACCGAATAAACATTTAAACGATAATGCCTGGTTGGGCGAGTGCAAAATGTAATAATTATTCACGAAAAACGAAGGGTTAAGATGTTAAATACTTCGGAAGTGAATATACGTATGCGAAAAAATTTGTAGACTAAACAAAATTGGGGCATCCGTAATCATACGAGGAGACGCTGTAGCCGAGTCAAATATGAACGTTCTTAGAATAGAAGAATAAGCTTTGTACAAAATTACATGCAAAAATTAAAGAAATAAGCTCAAAGCAATGTGTTTAATATAATTAATCTGATTAATACGATGTAGGTGAACTAGGATATTTACAGTACGCGGAAATACTTTTATTGCTTCGATCATTTAGATATACGTGAGTATATCAAATTATTAAATATATTTTGATTGATTACAAGCCCTAGTGTGCTATATTTTCAAACTGTTTAAAAAATAGAGGTACATGATCTTCGTTTTCCATTCACGTACACGCGCTTGGCGCACCATTTGAATTGTAATGTTTTTGTGCGAGCTTGCATTTGTGTATGTAATATTATATACTCAAATAAACCTAAATTTCGCCGACAGATACACAAATAATAGTGCGTTTCCGTAACCTCTTCCCTATGCATTTATATACGCGCGCCGGAGTTTGTAACGTGACTGACGTCATACGGCGTAGGGAAAGGGGACACGATGCGCGTTGCGATACGGTTTTTATTATACCATGGTCTGAACCTACTTTTGCCGTCCTACGATGGGCGACCACCCCATTGGAGCATTTAGTTTCACAGACCATAGAAACAAGTGCTATCTATTCTTTGAGTCGTGTATTGGTAACAGTGTTAAGTGTCAACCTCATGCTTTGAAACTAACCTAAAAAATTTTGTAACTTAGTAAACATGAAAAACTTGGAAGTTTTTCAAGTAAAACGCTGTAAATCGAATTCATCTGCCGATATTACTCATGTGGCTTCGGAGGGCAACATTACGTTTACTCTAAGTAATTCGCACTTACACTTTTACAATGGCGAAGATCATCACTGCTTTGCAAACACCTACGAATGTATCACCAAATTTGAAATTCTCAAAATCGAACGGGTTTTGTGGTTTGGAACGGGAAAAGAGTTCATATGGGTCGACCTGTCTAAAAACTTGCACGTTATCCAAGTCGAATCCGAATTTACCGCTGCCGAATGGAATCCAACGCAAGACGCAATCACCATCACACATCCAAATGGAGAAATCGGTCTGTATATTGTTAATCTGCAAGAATTGTTGATTTCTCCCATTGGACTTTCACATCTGATCGATGCTAAACCCAGCGTCGTTTTGAACGTTGGCTGGGGATCTGAAGAAACGCAATTTCGTGGCACGGCCGGAAAACGGGGGAAACTTTCGGAAGAAGGTAAAATTGTAATTCTTGTTTTATCCTAAATGTCATAGTGTTACGTTGATTGCCCAATATTTCAAGCTGTGACCTCTGGTACAACAGTTCATACGGGCCGTAGCAAAGAGTTTTTTCTTTTTTGTACACTTATAGGTTTGAATGAGTAGCCTAAGCCGTTCTTTAACCGTAAGGATAGATAAAGTGATCACTTTAACTGTAAGGGTAGATAAATTGAAACAAATGATTGTGCATTATAATGACCTCTGTCATTCTTATTTCAAAGGCACGATATAAAAAGGTAGAAGCTTTACAATAATTCATATGGCTTCTGCTATAAAATAAAGTTAAATTAAAATTAAAAATTAAAAATATCCCTTTATCGTCTTGTATAATAAATAACTATTAAGCCGCTCATGAGCAGCATTAAAAGTTGTGACTTTACTCAATGGCATTCACTATGACTTAGATACTCGCTTAGATATGTTATAATTTCTATAAAAAGATAAACCGGAGTTTTCACAGAAATGATGAAACGAATGTACTTGATGCCCTAGATTCTTCTATAGATAGAGGTGGGAGAGAGGTGAAAACTAAGAGGCAAGCTTTCTCTAATGGTTACGGATCTTATTGATTCTTTCATTTAATTTCTCAGCTTCTGGTCATCATAGAAAACTGGGACCAATCTTAAAATTCAAGTTAATTAAGCGCTCTTCATTTGGGACAAACTAATCGGACGAGGTTTGCTGCAACACATCTGATTATTTACCGGTGTTGACGCTCATTCAAATGGCCAGGCTGAAATTTCCAAATTCTGAGGCTGCAAGAATAATTATAATATCTCTACGGGAACCATTACAAAATTAAACAGTTATGTTTGGAGGGCGATTTTCTTATCAGCGCTTAAAATGGCTCTACAAATTGAAACACTCCTTCTCCCTTCTTTTTGTCACTCTTGGAAAATATTTCTTGTAAGAAAGTGTCCATTTTTTATTCTTTAAAGTACCAGGTGCTCATTAAAGCTCAAATTATTCAATCGAATGCCCCACGTTGGGTGAGCAAATAAAATTGCTGTGTGCAATGGCCCAGCCAAAATGAACCATACACAAGACACTAGCTAGCTCTCTTATTAAATCTTCTCAGGACACATCCGAATCCCGGCACAATAGAAAAATTTCAATCTCGACTTCAAATTCCAAATTTTAAGGCAAATAATGGCCGCGATCAAATTTCTTAAATTGGAAACTTACACAAAAGTTAAAAGACACCTGAAACAAACACAGAAAACACACTCCTCGTCTCCTTGAGTAAATCAAGTAAACTCCTTAGTAACGAAGCGCCTAGCTTAAAACGCTTTTAGATACCGGGTGTGGACTTCACAAATATACAGTGTGGTCATAACTTCGGGTAGTAAATTCAGGGCGGAAAACGGGTGCTTCGTTACACGTCTTGTTTTCAAACAAATCAGAATCAAGAAACAGCTTTTAAATTTCTGATTTTTCTGCAGTGCTTCCTGCAAATTTTAACGACGATTTCCGACCGAGAATATCATGGAGAGGCAACGGCGATATGTACGCAGTGAACTACTGGCATAATTCTCAAAGACAATTTAAAGTATTCAAGTATCCCTGTGAGCTTCTCTATGAATCAGCGAGCATCGTCGGTCTACAGCCTATTATTGCGTGGAAACCGGAGGGAAATCTAATTGCGTGCGTAACATGCACTACGACAACGCGCGAGGTTTCCTTGTTTGAGAAAAACTGCTTAATTAAGAATAAGATAGAATTGAGTGACCAGGTAATGAGCATTTCACTTGATGTTAATAAAATATCAACAATTTTAGGTGGAGATAATCGACTTGAAATGGAGCGCTTGTGGGCAAATATTATCCATATATCAATCACTAGGAAATGAAACATTTTTAGATTTGTATACGATCAAAAATTATGTGTGGTATTTGAAGCAGCGACTCAACTTTGCGACTACAAATTCTCTGATTTCTTACCATTTTAAGGATTCATTATCTACCGTTATCATTCTACAGGTTGTGACTGTTAGGGAAACGGTTGAGTATTCATTTAAATATGTCGTTAGTAAAAGTGCAGGTGGTAGAAAGACTTGCGGTGTGATCAACGGAAACTCTCTTTTGTTAACACAATGCGAAAAGGGCATGGCACCACCTCCAATGTTTGATGAGAAAATTGTCGTAGACAATCCCATCAATTTTGTTCAGTTTCATCCAGAATTGCAGAGGGTGGCGATTGTCGATTCGAAAAATTACATTCAAATTTTTAGCTTGACATCGCCACCTTCGCCTATCGAAACGTGTCGAGCTTTAAACAAAGCCCAATATGATGTACCGCTATCATATCACCATATAATTTGGTACTCCGAGTCGCATTTGTTGTGTCTTAAGGAAACAATGGACAGTACTAGTAAAGTGTTGGTTAAGGTTAGTGACGGGGCTTTGGTGCCTTGGAACGATAGTCTTGAAGCAGCTAACGTTACATACTTGAATAGCATATACACTGACAGTCGAGTTGTGCAACAATCTGACGGATTCTTAAGCATAAGCGACCAGGACAATCAATTGGAGGTGCTCGCACAGATTCCCACAGTGCTTCAACTTTCATCATTTAAAAGCCAAAACGCCTTGTTTTTGTTTTCATTAACGCAGACTCAGGAATTTTACATCAACGAAGTGCGGGTGTTAATAGGCGTACTGTCTTTTATCATTCACGACTATTACTTATTGCTCACAACCACGGAAAACACGCTAATATGCGTGCGACTAAACGATTTACGCAAATCCGAAATAAGCAAGTCGTTGGCGCGCGCCACCTATCGTTCGATGGAGCAAGGTGGCCACCTTTTACTAGGCGTTCCTAATTCGTCTTCCGTCATACTACAAATGCCTCGCGGTAATATCGAAACCTGCACGGTTCGCGCCATATCCATAGATAGATTGGAGAGCCTGCTCGAAAAGCAGGCGTGGAACGAAGCGTTAGATTTGGTTCGATTGGAGAGGCTAAACCCTACAATCTTGGTCGACCTGAATTTCAACCGATTTATTAGTAACATCGACAAATTTGTCGAATCGATCCGTACTCCTGCAGTTATCAACGATTTTTTAATCGGATTACAGGAGGAAAACGTTTTTGATACGGTGTTTCAAGATTACGCATTCGCAGTAAGCCGGAAGGAGCATGTCAAAGAAAAAATTGTTAAGGTTTGTACTGCTCTAATCGATTACATGGAAAATGGCGATTACACTCACTATTTGCATTGTATAATAATCGCCTGCTTTATGAAAAACTTGGAGTCGTCCAACTTTGAGGCCTTGACTCATGTACGAAACTTGTTATACTCGATGAAGGAGAATCCGGCACTAATTAAGGTTGCTGAAAGTGCGTTCCAGGCCATTAATGTTTTGAAGCCGCAAAGCGATATGTATCATAATGCTCTTGCAATGTACGACTTGGATTTGGCGTTATTCGTTGCGCGTAATCTACAAATGGATCCCAAAGAGTATGAGCCATTTATCAGCCGTTTAAAAACGATGGGTGAAGTCCAGCGCCGATTTGAAATAAACGATTTTCTTAAGAATTACGCAACTGCCGTCAAGTATCTGATTCGTTGCTCGGAAAGTGACGAATACACTTTGAACTATGTAAACAAACATGAAGTTTTCAATGTGGCGTATAATTACACAAAGCATGGCAGTGGATTACATAAGGAAGTCGCAATACTTTTCGCCGAACACTTACGGAGGCAGAAGCTACACGAAGAATCTGCATTTGTTCTTGCTAGTGTGCAATGCTACGAAGAGGCGTTCAGCGATTACAAGCAAGCGTTAATTATTCCCAATGCGATTTTAATGCTACAGCATATGAAGCTGTCTCCAGAAGAACGCCATCTACAATTACTGAATTTGGCGCAAACATGCGTCGCGTCCGGTAAAATACTAGAAGCAGCTCACATTTTTGAAACACAGCTTTCCCAACACCACAAGGCCATAGATTTGTACATCGCCCACAGTTACTTCGCCGAAGCGCAACGGTGCGCTATAAAGTTTAACTGTTTCAATGAATATAGTAAGCATGTCTGAATCTTTGCTGCAGTTACGCAATCTTTCTTTTTTCAGAGCATAGTTTATTTGAGGGCTCACTGGTATACTGCGAAGAGCTGAATTTAAAGTTGACAACTCTTAAGGAAACTTTTGCTAAGTATGTGAATCGCTTGTCAGCAATTAAACTGGGTAAAGTGCAGAAAATGACAGTTGCTGGCGATCATCTACCGTCTGGTATCAATGACGACATTTTATCGATAGCAGACAGTTTATCCACTATTAGTGTCAATACGTCTAGGTAGGTATCAAATTTCTGCGTATTTGTTGCGAGTGGCGTCAAAATTAATGATTAATCTTGATTGGATCTCGCTTTCCGAATTGTTTAATTTAATAGACGCGTGCTTATTGTGTATGTTTATTGTCTGGTACCTGCGCCAATACATAATCACAGTTGAAGTTCTCTCTTACGATATAATAACAAAAAGTTCCCATTCAATTCACCACAACAGTTTCATTAGTTACAATTGTGGTTTGTTTGTACCTCCAAACACGAAGATATACCAAACATCAACTACGTTCAGAACGTTCTAGAAAAATATCCAGCCAGCCATTAGAGCCTAGCTAGCAGAAGGCCAAATCATAATTTTTGTTATTTACAAATTTGCAAGTTTATCTAGAAACTGAAAATTTATTCATCCTTTTTTTGCCTATTACAACTTTACTATTATTCTAAGTGGTATCACTCTCGGTGACAATCCACCCTGTATATTTTTACATTTTTTTTTAAAGAAAATACAATTTTGGTAAAGCCTTTAATGCAACATCACTCTTAAATAATCAATAACAATATTTGCTAATTTATACAACTTTGTAGTTCCAATAATAGTGTTAGCAAAAGCGCCGGTTCCATTTGGCACACACTGTATACATCACTAAAGCATCACTAAAAACGAAAGATTAAAGTTAATCACATATTGATGAATGAATTTCATTGGACTTGCCCATGACTTGTAGTAACTTCTTTTTAACTGTGCCCGGTTCTTATAGTTCAAGAGCGTCGACTGCCAGCCGTCGACGTCGTAAAGAAGAAAGAAAAAAGCAAGACCTTCGCGAAGGAGGCGTCTACGAGGACATTGCCTTAATGCGAGCGCTCTACGAATTAATAGTCGAAGTCTTTTCTATGGGACCGATGGTTCGACAGATTTGCCTTATTGCGGTTGATATCAACACATCTGGCGCAGTCAAATTTATAAGTGCGCTACATAATGCACTGTTCGAATTTCAGTTACATATTAAAAAGTGTCTCACCGAAATATGGCCACCACATTTAAATTCGGACTTAGAAGGGCAAGATTCTCGTATTTATGAAAATGTGAAACAATTAGGTAAGTACCGTGCTATTGAACTATAAACCCGAAATTTGTTTTTAGATGTGAAATACAGAGAACCACCTCCGAATTTGGACACGAGTTGGAAAATTAGTATAATGGTTTCTTCGTGATTTCGCGAGGTTACGGATTTATTATCAACTTTAGTTGTATATGTGATAGGGTGCTTTGTTTGCAAATGTGTAGGAACCATCTACCTTCTTTTACATGCAGTTATAATTAAATGAGCGATGGGTAAAGAACAGTAATGCGAAAACATTTAGTAATAAAATGGACCGACAATTAAAAGGGCCTTCTAAAAAATTTCTGGAATTAGCGTCATCAACATATTAATTAACTAAGTTAAATCAGTTGAAGTGATTGCACTTTGTTTTTTTCGTTTACAATCAGTTCCCCCTGCTACTGACCAAGTGAACAGAAATCACTATTATCTGATTGCGGGAAAAGTTAGTACAGTTAAATCACTTCAATTAACATAACCTCAGAAAACTGGAATCATAACCTCCCAGGCTGTTTGTTTATTTTTTTATCGGACATTTAAGAACTGTTTATGAGTAGGGACCAGACTTATATGCATGAAAACACATCAAAAATGCACATATATACTCACAAAAAATATGGCAAAAAAGCATGGAGATATGCATGAAAAAATAAACAATGCACAAAAAAATATTGAAACTTTTTTGATTCAAACTATTTAAACATAAGCTGTATTAAAACAATTAATGTCGTCGTCTTATTTGTTGAACTTGAAAATTTGCTTGTATTATAAATTAATGCTGAATTGAACACCGCTGACGTTTTATAATTTAGCAAACTTGGGCGCCATATTTTTTTTGTATTTCATTTGTTTTTTATTATTTTTTTTCTATTTTTATTGTTTTCTTTTGTTCTGTTTCTATCTTATAATTTTTATTTTATTTGATTTATTATTTGTTTATCTTTATAATTTATAAATAAAAATATAATTCTTGCAATTAGAACCACTGGAAGCTTGTTTTGTAATAAAAATGGTTCAAAAAATTGATGAAATGCTAATCTATCTTAAATATGTACAAAAACCCCAAAAATGAAAAATATGCACTATTTTCTTTGCGCCAATGTGATTCATTTTTGTTAGTTCGTTTAAATGATTTCTTTATTTTGAGCTGCATATATTATTTCCGTAATGCATAAAAGCATGAAATCCGGTCTCTATTTATGAGTAGTGTACCTGTCGAATATCCTCTGAATCAGTTTTCCTATACAAATAAAGTTCATACTCTTTGGTTCAACGTACCGCATATTTAATAATACTAATAATAATGTTTATTTACGGAAAAATCTCATTGTACAAGGTTCTACATTAAATATTAACAAGCATTCTTTTAATATGAATTCTAATTGAATTGATTGAGCAAGATTTAAACAATATTACCGCTAAAAAACTATAATAAACCAATCCATTTCTTTTTAAGATATGTTAAGTAATAACAAACACCAAACTGTCAAGTCTGTGTTTTCTTCAAGTGATTTAACTGAACTGATTTTTGTGAAACTGATTGTGATTTATAAATCACCAGAAACGAATACACCTATTAAAGATTATTAACATCGCAGGTATTTTATAAACCATTACTTAATATACTATGTAAATATAGCTTACATATTCACATATACAATGACGTCACATAAATAATTCCAGATAAAAATTGTTCTGTGATATTAATCCTAATAAATGAGAATGATTAGTAATGAAACATTTTCGTAATCTTTTTTAGCAGAACATCACTGGTTACTGGTAATTACATACTAATTGTCACATTTAATAGGCACAGATTTAATGTAGAAGAGGCAGGAACTTTTTGGCATATACATAAAATTTTTGTCAAAATCGGGTTTAGACGGTACAGGCTGCAATTTATAGGAAAATGTCTTTCCAATCTAGATCCTAAAGCACTTATAAGAAATAGTGTAAAATATGTAACAAACCAACTTCAGGTAAGGGTGTTATATACAGGGTGAACATTTTGTCTGGAACACTAGATAATATCTTCAAAACAACATACAAAATGCCTACAACATATATATTACCCAGAAGATATATTATTGTAATAATAATTATACGTCGGTATACTATATGAACAGTTCTTATACCATTGATTTGGAGTTAAAGTTAACATATTTTAGTTTCTTCACACCAAAGTAGCTCTACGAAGTTTGTTATCTGAGAGACATCTGAATATAAAAAATAACCTATCCAAATCTCCAGGGTATATCACAAAACCTTGAAAAGTGACAAATTCCCTTTTATCTGTTATGGTTACTGAGAAGAAATACAAATTGTGGGCATTTTGTCTCCCAAACAAACATTTTGAACCCTTTTGTAGGAAATGATTCTTTTAACCTCCTTCACCACTGAATTTTTTAATTATATTATTATATATTTCTTCCAGACATCCCAATCACGCTTTGCGAATTATAACTGATCACAATAGAGGTCAAGTCAGGGTCAATTATAAAATCTTTACTCGGCACCACTTAAAGTCATGCGTCTGCAAATCGAGAACCAATAATTGTTGTGGCATGTAAAGTAAGGCACGTTTAATTATCAAAAACATGATAAATTCCGTGGGATCCCCCCCGCCCCCCCCCCAAATACAACAACAATTTGATGCTGTCTAGCACACCTTTAAAGTATACGCTACTGTTACAAAAGCAAATGTTACAAAAGCGAAAAGCGGACTAATTAATCTTTCAGTGATAAAATAATAAAAAAATGACTTACCCCCAAATATTTTGTCTTTGATGATCTGTACACAAATTAAAGGATCGGAAAGAAAAGATTTGTGTGAAATTGACGTATAAATAAACGTATAACAATAATTAATACAAAATAAAACTGAAATTGATGCAGTTGGCGTGTGTAGCGTTGAACGAATATTCGGCAAGTGAGTTTTAAAACTGCACTCTGCGCTGCACCTAGAGATAATAAAATAGGCAAAGCGATAAAATAAATTTTAAATTTTATATTTAACATACTACCCCCCCAATTTTGAAAAAAATTAACAATATTTTGCAAAATGAGAAAAAATAAAAATTATTACAATTAAATTATTATTGGCGATATTTACACCCCTGGCAAAGGGCAAAGTTTTACCAGAGGACGCGTGTATACTCCCTGGTTAGTTCGAATTTCGGCAATGCGGGCAATACCGTCAGAACCTAAAAAAAGTTTGTTCACTCTCGCTAGTTTCCAATGCATAGGCGGTAAATTTTTTTCTTTTACTAAAACCAGGGTGCCTATGTTGATAGGGTTTTCTTTATCAATCCATTTTGTTTTTTGATGCAGAGTATGTAAATATTCCAAACTCCAACGCGACCAAAAATCATGGTGTAAGCGTAATAGTAACTGATAGCGATCTAAACGGTTTAACTTTAAATGTGACATGTCGGGATCTGGAATAGTTGTTAATGGTTCGAGAGACAAAAAATGTCCCGGCGTCAAAACAGCAAAATCATTTGGATCGGAACTCATTGCGCAAAGTGGCCTCGAGTTTAATAAACCTTCAATTTGTATTAAGACCGTGTTCAGTTCCTCATATGTTAACAATTGCGAGCCTATAACTCTGGAGAGATGTGTTTTTACTGCTACAAGCTATACACTAATATTTATTTAGATAATAGTAGAAAATACTCCAATTTTAAATATAACCAACCAATTGAAGATGACTGTCCAGGATCATTTAATGACGTATTATGGTCCTGACATTACTTAAGAATTATGTTGCTAGGTACAAAAATAAATAATTTAAACTAAAGTTGTGATAAATGAAATTAAGTATTCATACGCAGTAATTACTGGATTCATTTCCACATTAAAAGAATATGTGACGTAACTCAGCACCTTAAAATGCATTGACAATTAGTATACCGTACGTAAGTATAGGTAGGTAATTATATAAAAAATAACTTATTTAAATTTACACTAAAACTCCTTAACGACTTGAAAGTGTTGATGCCTTTCAAATAACTTTAAACAATTAAAGAAATTTGTAAGTCAACTACTATATAAAGGTTCTATTTTTCATTACACATCATTCACATTTTGGATTTAACCTATTCAACTATGAACAAGTTAAACGTAAGTTACAAGAATAATTAAACAGCGAGCATTGTTAATAACATATTGATATTACAGATTTGCTTCGTCATCTTGGGAGTAATCTCCAGCGTCTTCGCAGAAGCGCCGTTGCTTTCAGGACCATACCCAGCTCCCGCTCCAGTATATGGACCACCGAAAATAATTGAAACACCTGCCCCGTACCCACCAGCAATACCCGCACCAGTATATGGACCACCGGCCGAATTCATCGCCCCACCTCCACAAATTATTTCTAACTACGACTATGCTGTCTACACTCCAAAACGCGTCGAAGTTCTTGCACCATATGCACCACCGGCACCAATCATCAAAACTGCTCCATACGCACCACCAGCACCGATCATCAAGACCGCACCATACGCACCCGCTACACCGATCATTGAGATTCCCAGACCCACCGTTCAAGTGATCTCCAACTACCATTACGACTTACCAAAATACATCCCCGCTCCAGCTCCCGTTTTACCCGCTCCAGTTTACGGACCACCAAAAGTTTTCGTCGCGCCCGCTCCAGTTTTACCTGCTCCAGTTTACGGCCCACCGAAGATAATCGAGCCCATTGTACCCGCACTGGAGTACGGAGTACCTAAAGTGATCCCAGCTCCAGCACCAGTACTTTCCACCTACAACTACGCCGTACACACTCCCCAACCGATAGTTGTCAAGACTGGACCGTACCCTGCACCAGCACCTTTGGTAAAAATTCCCGAAGCACCAATTGTACCACACACTGAATATGGTGCACCAGTATTCTAAACGTTTATAGTTGTGGATTATTTATTTAACGGAAATGTAAATGTATTATCAATAAATTAATAAATTTTTTTATTATAACAAGTATATTCGCATAATTTACAACGCCGAATATCCTAATTTTAAGCAAGTTACCCCAGAAATAGTTGTTACAAAATGCGAATTAGCATTGTATCGTAATAGTTATACCTAGGTATTTATGTATCTGGGCCGAAAATTTTCATTCTTAGTTGTATGTACATACAGAAATTGTCTCGAATTGATGAATATGTTATGGAACTTACAAGTAGGTATAGGTATGTCGTCTTGCACAACTTTTGCCAGAGTAGCTTACTTGATCTTCTGTGCAGAACCGAGTCGAGAAATGTAAAGATCACTTGGGATTATTCAATCATTTAAGGAGAGAACAAATTTGCTCCATTCTTCTTCCATTGTGCAGTACCTACGCATTTACGCAACTTCTAAAAGTATTTTAAAACGCGAAATAATTGCAGAATAATATTATAAACAGACGATAAATATGAAACACAAGGCCATAAATCTAACCATTGCTCATTTATTTGGAAGGTTAAACAGGGTCAATGGTAAACAACAATAGCAATACTCGCTTCTGCTTTATAACAATGAAGCATACAATGGGTTATATTTTCAAATTGACCCGTCTGGTAAACCTGGTAAATTTAAGATCTCATGGCCAATTGCACCGTCAAAATGAAGTATCACCTTTGAATATTCAAAGGTTTCACTTAAAGTTAAGCACAACTTAAATGCGTTATGCGAAACGCGAAATGCGAAACGATTTTATTAATAATCGTTCCCCTGCGTTTGTTACATAACCCTAAAAGGTTGTCGTGGTGCTGGTGACCAGAATCCAAGATGAAGAACAGCAGAAAATTCTGCTTTTTGCTTTTTAATGAACGGAACCTCGAAACGTGGTGTTACGCAGTTTTCGGATGGTGGACTAGGCCTTCCTTTCGATCTCGACGGCAACTCCCGTCTCTCAATTAGGTATATGGAAAAGTGGCAGCAAATTTTAAAAATGATTTAATTTGCTAACCGCAAACATTCTTGGGTTTTACCTTTACCACAGAGCTAAAATCAACTACGTTTCGAGCAACAAACTGCATCATCTACTTGTATCGCCTCTATATTATCTGTTAAATGTCCTGTAATTGGAATTTGTTTTCTGTTGGGCATTAAACTATTATTATTATTATTATCATCGGGATTAAAACACACTCTAGTCCCTTGTTATATGTTGCTATGTGCAATGGCGTGCGATCACAATACCACCCACGGTCCAGCTAGCTCAAAACAAAACAATCTTTAAATTTAGAATTGTAATTATTTTCCCCGTAGACGTCCGGCTCGCGTGAAAGAAAAACCTCTACGTTGAATTAATAATTTGGGAGACTCGGGAGCATCGATCAACTTTTCATTTACACCTAACATAATTGTTGGACACGAAAAGAAAAATTTGACATGAAAACTCTATCCAGGTTGCACAATGGATTCCAATAAACACACAAATAATTGACTGTCAATGCCAAAATTTATTACGAAACATAAAGAAAAATGGAAAAAATCCCTGAAAGAAGCTTACAAAACTTGTTTGGACCTATTGCCCCGCACGAGGCGGTCGAGAAATAGAATAAGAAATTTTAAAATTATTTACAGTTTTTTTTTAAATAATCCAAATAATCTGGTCGTACAAGGGGTTTGCAGGCGCACTAAACTCACATAAACGCTGACAGCCTCTGAACTGCACTTTGCTTTATAACACAGTATTAGATGGTAAAAAAAGCTGACTTGATGAATAAGGTGAACAAACTTTCGGTGGCTGTTCGGACGGTAGAAACTTTTAACTTTTAATAAGAAAAAAACTTCAACAAAAAAGGCCTCGCTGCTTCCTTTTTATGACAGCGCGCGTTATACTTCTCACCGTGGCGAAATTCGCAGCAGCAACCGTAAAATGAACTCCTTCTTCAAGAATTTAGCACATCGCGAGATAAATTCTCTGCCATTAACCCAACATTCCAGATACTTTTTAACAGTAGGCATAAAAAATTTGCGTGGAGCGTATCTACAATTTTATACATTTGTCAATAATCAAGGCTTAGCTGACTTTATCTGTAAATGTTGGAGTTAGTCAAAATTTTGATAGCAAAAAACAGGTTTTTTTAATTTATTCGAAAACCTAACATTTTAAAGGAAAACGAAATGGTACATTTAAAGTTTTGGAATAAGCAGGACTGAAGAATGGCGTTTTCACGAAAAATAAAAACGGGGTTTATTATAGGTACAGAGAAGGTCATCTCGGGACATACTGCAGAGTGTATCGCGTCCTTTCAACTTCTAGTTTACCTATACGTTGAGTGACAGAAATGTGTAGGTGAGCAGGTGAAGTTCTAGATTTTGATTGAATTTATATTAGCAAAATACGCGATAGGTTGTTGGTGGTCCGAGAACAAATATGCCGAACCCTCCCCCACTCCCATCTCTTTCACGTGCACGCGTAGAGTTCTCGGAGAAAAGCAAAAGGACTGAACCTAGGACCGAACTGCAGAAATTATAGATATTTCAAGTATTTTAATTCAAGTTTTTCTTAGACTGGGGACCTATACAGTGTCCAAAATAAGGATGTCTATCATGGGGATCTCCGAAACCATAGAATATGCGACGATGGATAAATTAGAGAAAAGATTATCTTAGAAAATTCCGATTACATCCGAAGATGCAACAAAAATCGAAATTTGTCGATTTTGTTTTAATTTTTTTCTGATGTTATTTGAACAGATACAAAAAAAATACAAAACACATTCTCATTGCCACTTTTTGAGTTCTGTCTCTCGATGTGAATTTGAAGGTACGTACATGAAGAAACAGGAATAATCTCATGTTGGTACCACAAACTGAAACCTTATGCCAAAATTAATAGCTAACAGTGCATATACACTAATTCTAATTTGAATATTTCTGAAATATTTCAGAAGTAGCTGGTAGAGGTGAGAAAAATTACGATATTTTGACTATATTACGAGATACAGTGGAAAAACTACCAAGAAATATAGCAGCGACTATAGATTCACCTGTTTCAGTTCGACCGAGAATAAATATTTCTGAAAGAAGCCTGCAGTGAAGAAAATTAGGATATAGAGACACAGTAGGAAAATTACTAGAAAATATAGAGCCTTGCCTCTAAAAATAATAAAACGCAAGTCGACTGTCTTAGATTGATTGAAAAATAAACGTTTTTGAAGCATTATAGTTTGGTTAAATGGGAGAAACGTTGCGCTATAAAAGGTCTAAGAAGAAATTTTGTTGTTGTTTTTGTCATATTTTGAAAAAGTCGGATTTTTGGTTTTTACGAACTATTTTTTTGGGGGTAATATTTGACTTAGGGCAAATAAGCAATGACACTTCTCAAAGCAATTTTTAATGCCCTTTAAGGCGGAGTTGTTAGTTGTTTAATCCGACGTTCACGTTTCGTTCTTGCGGAACCATCATCAACTTAATTTTTTTAAATACGGCTCTAATGCTCCGTATCACATTCTTAAAGCTCTTTTTATTCTGAATTCAATGATGTATACCCCTGTGTATACCTTATGGGCTTAATTGCGGTTTAGTTTTTGGTTCAAGCTTAATTATAAGGGAACTGGTTCAAGACAAATTCGTTGTATTGGATAATAGCTTCAGCAATGAATCTTGGTTGTCACTAACCGCTTAATCAATCTGCTATTATTGGCAATTGAATGACTGTTTTTGAGTTTCAATGCATCAGTTTTCTACTTGCTTTGATACATTTCTTGCTTGTCAACGTAGTTCAGATCATAAGCTTTGAGCACAATTCGTGCAAACTGTAGGTATTTTAAGTGAACTTTTTCTTTGAAGTGAATGGAGTACCTAATCAATTTTTTTCGGTAAACTCCTTCATAAAATATAATTAATACTCTCATCCTTTTTCAATGGAGGAATCTGAAAATGCTGAGACAAAAGAGTTATACCAATTATTAAATTTGATTGATTTTTAGGAGGAAGAGAAATTTTTGTTAATATACAAATGTTTTGGTTATAAAACATTAATTAGTTCTTACAATACGGAACTGGGAAACTTGGACAATTAAGAATGTAACAGTAATTAGTGTACACTACTTAATGAACTAGAAGGCAACGACATTGAAATAATTGCTACCATAACAAGTTTATCGCGGATAGATCAAATTGCTATATTACATTTTTGTTTGTTCAAAAATATATAAAAACTCAAGTCAACGTTCGATGGAGTCACACAGCAAACATGCAACTTGTAAGTATTTCACGTTGATCATCCATGGGGTGGCTAATGGGTTAATTTTTTTTAGGAAACCATCTTTTTAATCGTCGCCGTCGCAGTCAGCGTGTGCGCTGAAAACTACGCACCTGCAGCCTCATTTGAGCAGACAGAGTTTGAGCTTCCAGCTTCAACTTATGGAGCTCCAAGGAGACCAGCCAGGCCGTTCACCTCGTACCAAGTCCCGACCATACCAGCCCCGGCCGTCGAATACCAAGCTCCCGTCGTTAGATACACCCCCGCCCCACGTCGTGTAATTCAATACGAAGAAATCCCGGAAATCGAGTACGAAAACGTACAAGTTACAGTACGCAAACCCGTAGTTAGATACAGGCTGCAAGCCAGACCAATCACAGTTATTAGGGCGCCTTCCAGATCTTATGGAGTTCCGGTAGCACCTTCAACGAGTTATGGAGCACCGGCATTCTAAGGCGTTAATTAACCTGTTTAATTTATATTTCTCTCAAGCTTAGCCGTAAAGGAAAAGTAATAAAAACTTATAAGAAACAAATTTTACCATTTCTAGTCTAATGGTCGTAAGGATACGTCAGACTTTCCACGACGTAGTAGAAAAGCATCAAATGACACGTACCTACCTTTCCATTAGCCTATTACTCTTCCCTTCCTCTGTCCTATTTAAATTTCTTATCTTCTAATGTGCAAGCTTTTTCATGCGGTGGTGTTCTCGTTTAACATATTAAGGGATAACTGCTGTCATGTCGTTGGTATCCAGTAGATAAGGTCATATTAGAATGGTCGATGCGCCAACAAAACTTGATTCCCAACGATCAGTTTGGATATAGGTACATAATACGAGTTTTGGATATACCTATTCTCTTGGACCAATTAATTTCTCTATTCAAAATACCTTTACAAATGGATAACACTCTGTGTCCAAGATAAGGATGTGTATCATGGGGATTTCGGAAACCATCGAAGGTACGACGATGGTTAAATTATGGAAAAGTTGCCCAATGAAACAGTTAAATTATCACCCTGTACAGAAAACCGGAAAATTTTGATTACTTCCGAAGACATGCCAGAAAAATCGAAACTTGCCGACTTTGTTTTTACTATTTTCTGATGTTATTTGAGCAGATAGAGAAAGATAAATATACTCCCTCATTGCCACTTTTTGAGTTCTGCAAGACAGCATTGAGAGATTTTTAATACGTTTCGTTTCGGAGAAATCATCATCAACATTATTTTTTTATCGTCCGTAAAAAAGTACCTACATGCTGTATTGAGTGGAATTTTTACAACGAATACAAAAAAGTACGACACATAAAAAACAAAGGTTGGAAATGTTTGGTTTCAACAGGATCGTGCATTCACCGTGGAAAATATGGAATTGCCATATTTAAATGGTAATCCATATGTTTTGAAAATCCAAAAACTTGTTGCTGAGTGACAAGCGGAGCTCTGTAATTATAAGATAATAATAATCATATAGGCACAAATAAAATTTTTGTTCAAGGCAAATATCTTGTTATAATAACGAGTGATCAAAAATGAGTGGCGGTCGAGTAGCCTTTGGTTCCCATGTAAACAAAAATTCTAAAGGTGACTCGACCGCCACTAATTTTTGATCGCATAGTAGTTTAACCAGTATATGTGTCTTATGGCCGTTTGCACGGACAAATTTAAGCAGTGCTTAGCTTAAGCGTAGCTTAAAATCCATGGCAAATGTGAGTTTAGTGCGCCAGCAAACCCCTTGTACGACCAGATTATTTGGATTATTTAAAAAAAACTGTAAATAATTTTAAAATTTCTTATTCTATTTCTCGACCGCGCCGTGCGGGGTCCAAACAAGCTTTGTAAGCTTCTTTCAGGGATTTTTTCCATTTTTCTTCCATTTTTCTTTATGTTTCGTAATAAATTTTGCCATTGACAGTCAATTATTTGTGTGTTTATTCGAATCCATTAGCTTAAGCGTAGCTTAAAATCCATGGCAACGATTATTGAGACATACCATGGATTTTAAGCTAAGCTTAAGCTAAGCTCCGCTTAAATTTGTCGGTGCAAACGGCCATTAGAGCTGTAAATATACATCCTTTTCGTAGTAGCCTTGTGTTGTCTGTTTAATTAAACACGTCCTGACAAGTTCCTGGACGAGAACATGTCTGACCTTGTTTTTATGTGTTTTTTGTTTTATTTTTGTATTGTCCTATTAGAGGCTGGCCCAAGGCAAAAAATAATGAACAATGGTTTTTTCTCCCCAGTGACACACGAAAATTAGCTTTTTATTAGAGTTTTTTTATTTAAAAAGTAAGTTTGAAACTGACGGTTGTCACAAGTTGCACATCTGTGTTACTTTCAGAGGTACAGCAGGGACAGGAAACAGGAAGCAACACACGACTTATGCCAAAGGGTGTAGTTTTGAAGCGAATGCAGCTTAATTCAAAATTCTTGTAGCAACCCATAAATAGCACGCGAAGAAAGAGAGCTCTGTTCCAACGCTTCCAGCTTCACTCCAAAACAAAAAGAAAAAGGAACCCGGACTAAATCACTCGGTAGTTGGGATGAGCCCAGAATGCTCGTTAACTACGTGTAGCACACTAACATCTATGACAAAAAAAAAACAATTCTATCAGGTATCAATAGGTTTTGCTGCTAAGGTAACAACAAAATTACGGTTACGTCGACTACACCGCGCGGTTGATCCAACATTTTTGTGGTTGCACTTGTAGTTAAGGCGACTATACAACCTGCCCACACCAAACAAAACAGGAACGTTTTTCGTGTCTGAGCACGTGCCCTATGATCTCATATCCTCTGTAGGATTTTCCACATTTCACTATTTTCCTATACTAGCTCCAAGACTGTTTTATTTGTTACTCTATCCGTCTAGCTAATGCACATTATCCTTTTATGAAATAAACTAGGAACTAAAAGTAACTAGGGTAGTAGTCTAGTAGTAAATTGTAATTACATTTAAATCAAAGAGTACTATGGTTACTCTTTGATTTAAATGATCTTTATTTAGAGCATTAGTCTCATCATTACTCAATTATTTATTTACGCACCTCCTGTACATATTAAAACTGCATATTTCAATGTTACTCTTACAAGATTTAAGCTGTCATTTGTTGTAACTTGTAACTGATCAGGTTTTTCAGTTTTACCAACTAGAATAAATGAAAATGAAATGAAAAATATATTTATTAATCCACTTTAAACAAACAAGACAGTACAGGATTAAGTATAATAATAAACTATTACGAATGAGGAAATATAAGTATTATACCACCGTGGTTATAAGTAACATTCCACATAGCACAATTTATTCTAAAAACATTCTGAGAATATTTCTCTAAGAATATCTAAACATTCTTAGAATATACCGTGAATATATTAGATATTTACAGAATATTCATGGTATATCTTATATCTGCCCACATTCTAGGAATATTCTGCTAAATATATAAGATGATTATTCTATGAATATCTATAAATATGTTCTCAGAATTTATAAATCTTTATTCCCCGAATATTCGTAATTAATTTTACCTTTAAAAACTATGGTTTTAACATTCAATATCAAAAAACGTTGCACATATGACATAATAGAAACATTTGATCATCAGTGTGGTCTTAAATATCTATTATTTCACATTAAAATTTGTATAACTCCACCTTAACCTAACAAATTATGAGTTTAAAATACGTCACAAAATACACACGCTTACTTAACAACATCAACTTCCACGAAATGCAACGAATGTCAAGTTACAAAATGTTTTTATTTCATTTTCAAGGCACTGAATGACAGGACGACGTGAGAAAAGAACTGGCAGAACAACGTAACATAACAACGAGGAGGACTATATTATATAGGAAAGAGAAGCGAGACGCTTTCTCTGCGTTCTACGATTTGGCGCCCCACGTGATCACGCTAACGCAGTTTACTATGATTATGCTTGAAATATTCTCAATGAACTACTGATGATATTTGTACATTAAAATATCTGTTGTAGTATCTTGGGGTATAACCAGTGACAAAATTAAGAAAGTAGGAGTGCCACCCTTAATGTCTTCATCCACTCTTATCAGTACACTACGAACCTCCGCTAAAATTATTCCTGGAATATTCTTTAGGAAATAATCATGGAATATTCAATATAATTATTCTTGAATATTCACTCTATTCTAATATTTAGAATATTCCTGGGAGATTCTAGATATATATATATATTCATTTAGGGGCGGTTGTAAGAATATTCATAGAATATCGGTGCTAGCTGGGATAACTTCACATTTCGACGAAATTAACCGAATTTTCTATTAAGATTTTCGAAAATTGGAGGCTTCCTACGCACATTTTCTGTTGAAAACGCTTAATTAAAGTACCCTCTAACAATTTGTATTCATTTCATGATCGTAGGTCGGTGTTGAGTTTGTGATAACCTGCAAGTACATCAACTTTGAACTGAACTGGACTTAGAAATAAAGGTTTACTGATGGACGAAGAATCGACTGTGGACATTTGGACATAATAACGAAAGTAGATTGCCCGTCTCATTCCAATGATGACGGATGTTTAGAGGTATGTAGATCAATGAAGTGAAGCAAAAGAAGTTAGTCCAAGCATATCGATGAAATTTAAACAACATAACCAATAGGTACCAACCGCCGTTTGCGTGTTCGTATATGGTTATGGAATGCCATCAACCATGAATACAGTTCGATATTCTCAACAATTGGACGGTCTGAAAGTATTAAACGTACCCGGAATATGTACATAGTCTCATTACTTCTAATTAGCGTGGGAGATTGCAATATATAATTCGTTCCATAATTTATGATATTAAGTTAATCAAGCAATACATTGCAATAGTTTGTGTTTTTATGTTAAGATATTATGTATCTGGCGTAATGTTGAAGCCTTTGCATTTTATAAGAAATAGACGAAGTCACACTTACTAATTGTAGAATTCTTACAACTGAACGCGTAGAATATAATTGATGGTATGGCGTACATTTCAGCAACACCGATTATACAGGCGGTAGATTTGTAAAAAATGTGGTGACTAACAAACAAATCGTACTAGAACTGCCTTCTGGCAAGGACACATATTTTGTATTGTGCGAGGAACGACCCATTAAAACAGAAAGTGCGGTTTTACCCAATACACAATAGTAATTGTTTAAAAATATTTGATAATTGTACAGGTACGCCGTAAACCATCAAAACCTGAACATAGCATCATCGATATTGCAACAGTATTTTCTCAAATTCATCAGAAGTACCCATCTATGACAAGTGCATCAATTGCAATTATCGAGTACATGCACATAACCTTTATTAAATGTTAAAATTACGGGGCGTCTACAATTGAAGGCTACGTGATATTAGATCTGGATCGTAAATTATTTGTGCACGTAATTATTTACTTCTTGCAGTTGAAAACGACGTGCTAATGTAACAAA